AGCCCGACAGCGCTATCACGAGAAAAAGTAAAAACTGCCTCCGATGATACCCTTTCCGATTCCCATTTCGTGTACTTTTTTCACCATTGTAATCATCATTACTTTTTCTACAGGTTGACCGAAGCAAAATATCCAACCGCGAAGGTGAGCGGTGGAGCTGTCGCACCAAAAATTTCTGCCACCGGTAAGCTTCAATTTTTCAATTTTTTCGGTCAACTGAGGCCCCTTAATGTATTTTTTCACCGCAATTGATATAAAATCGGCCGAAATCAGCCAAAACTGGCTAAAAATAGCCAACTCGAGGTAAACCGCCCCTGCAAACGGCTGTGCTGTCGCCGTAACACGGCGGAGCCGCCGTGTCAGATTTTCGAAATTGGCCAAAAGGGATTTCTAACACTGATTTTGAGTTTTTTGGTATATTTATAGGTACTTGAAGTGTGTTTATTCCCTGAAGAAAAATTTAAGGAACCCTGGGATCGTCAGTAGGTGCAGCTGAAAGTTTAGCATCTCGGACATTAATTTGAGTAAAAATTCCTCACTTTATTCCTTGTGATGGAATTGAAATCTAATTATAAATAATACGATATTTTACATAATTTAGAAATATCGATAATTAAAGGTTACTAATGGAGTCGGAAGCAGTTATGTATTATTGTTTGCAATGTTTAATTGATTGATGATTTTACAGTTCGAATGCATGATAATACACTGAAATTGGTATGATAATTCGATTGTGTTTCTTTGATGCATGTATTGTTTGTTTTATGTTTATTACAGTTAATTGGGAGACTGAAAATTAAAAGTAAACGGAAAATTGTTTGATTAAGTGAATGGATGAATGACAACCTTACTAGATATCTTAGGAGATGGTGGATGGACTTGCTACATAGGGAACGCTACCGTGAACGTTGCCTCATATCGAACGGGTATCGAGGATTTATATTTTGATGCTCATACTGGATGGGGTATGGGGACGGTTCATTTCACCCTCATATCGGACGGGGTATTGAGGTATGGTATCATTTGGCACTCATACCGAACGGGGTATAGGGACTGTCCGTTAGTTGAAAATGTTAAATAAAAGTTCACGCGTAGTAAGGACATCTCTATGGACCCCCATAGATACTAGTAGGCTGATAAATGAGAAAGTTATTGTTCCGACTTATTGAATATAAGATTATGATATTGTTTACGCTATTGCCTCTATAGGTCGGTTTTGGAAATATCACTACGGTTAGTATACGGTAAATGACTTTATTTATGGTAAATGAATTTGCTTAAATTAAGAGCTCTATTAGTGTTTTTACGATTTCTACCAATCTTCATTTCTGTGTCGGAGAGTAGTGTGACATTCTTACTGGGTTAGTATAATTTACTCTTTTATTAACTATTTTAGATCAAGAGGACCAATATCTAGATCCCGATGCACAAGAGGGTTGCGAGTAAGACGTTCAGTTTGTTTGTTTTTTATTTATTCTTTGATTATTAGTTATTCTTTTGAAAGGGTCATTCTCATAACCCTATTGGTTATTCAGAATTATTGTGTAAGGAATGTAAACCCTAATATTATTGTTTCATTTCTGCATTTAAATTATTAAATTATTTACTTTCAAGTTCCGGAACGTTACAAATATAATTAGAAATTGAAAATAAAATCTCAATTAGTATGAGATAATGTTGATTTTTTTTTGCATTTTTAATTCTATGTTTTTGCTAAATACTCATTGTACTACCTCAATAAGCATCATATCACATTTCCCACAAAAGAAATGATTTTTTTTTAGAATAACTTGCTAATCTTATCTCACATGTTAGTTTTTCGTTGAGAATAACATGCTAATCATATTTATTTGTATTTTTTTAACTAGTTTGGTGAGCAACCTTGCCTACTTGGGGTGGAAAAATCACTAACCACTTGGGAATATTGTTATATCAACCATTTGGTTGCAAAATTATTGTTATCTATCTAATTAAGAGCATAAAATTAATTGGACAATAAATATTAAATTGGAGGATGTTTTTTAAGAGTTTGGAGTCTTGGGATTCGATATTTTTATTCTATTTCCTTAAAATTAGGTTATCACAATGGTAATGTAATGAAACAAGACCTATAGATTATGTCAGTGTACATATGAGCATGTGATGATTTATGGGCCTCTTCAAACATGAATTTAAAATTACGTTATAACAAAGGATCGATTCCACGCTTTAGGCTATCACGTCAACTTACCCACAACTTGGAGATGTTTGATGGTGTTCTTGTTTTTTGCCATCAAGTTGGAGTCAATCTCTTAATGAACTTTTCCTCTTACAAAGTAAGAAAAATTAGGCTTCTCATGGGTTTCATCGGACTAAAAAAATTGATATGCGCTAATTTATACAAAATTATTAGCCTCAAAAGCAACAATTTTTAAATTTTTATCATAAAACTTATTTCGTATCAATTAGTAGATAAGAGTATCATTGGACAAATCAAGAAAGTACTAACCACTCCCTCTATTTTAAAAGAATATTGCAAATATTGACATTGCTATCTCGTATAAAAAGATTAGTCATTAAGATTGTTGGTTTAAAAGATAATTTAAAAAAAAAACTAACTCGAATGAGTCACGTATAAGTGTCTTAATATTAATGTAAGTGATTGTAAGAAAAGAATTAGTTATACAATTTAAAGATTTTGACTATAATGAAAATGATCACACTTCCCACCCAAAATGAAGTTGATTTTGATAATTTTAAGAATGATTCTAATATTTTTATTTTTATTTTAAATTAATTATCAAACTGTAGATAAAATTTATACAAATATTATTATTATTTTAAACATGATTAAATTTTTTTTAAAAATACGAGGGGAGGGACTTGGACTTTTAACATTGAGGTATTATACTTTAAGGCTAAACTCCTCAAATGCATAAGTAGATGGATCATATATTAAAGTCAATTGTTGGTTATATGTTGAAATATGAAATTACTTTATTCGTTCTCGCTAATATATATATTTTTTTGTTTAGTTTAATGCCAAATAATATTTCATAATAATATAATAAAAATTAAACAAAACATTAATTTAAAAATAAAGTTATAAATTTGACTTAATTCCATATTTAATTTGAATTAAGTATTACTATAATATAATAATTATTATAGAAGTAACAATATGAACTGGGTTTATTTAATTATTTATTAAATATGTAAACTGCAAGTAAATTCTTATATTAAATAATAAATATATAAAACTCGAACAAATATGAAAATTTTAAATCATATATACAAATATGTATATGTATCCTTTTATAAAAACTAAAACTAAAGCTGCATAATTTTATAAAACATTGTTTTTTATTTGTGAGTAAAAATAATAAGTTCGGTAATCGTGTTTACGCGAGTCCAACGCGCGTCCATCACTCCAAATTGCACCGTTAGCTTAAGCCAAGATTGTGTTATATAATATTAAATAAATAATTTATATTTACATGATTCGATTTTGAATTAGCCGCATAGAATTCACTCGCAACACGCGAGGTGAGGGGCTTGTGCTACCACGCGCCTACACGAACAACAACATCGACGAATCTTCGGTTTTATACCTTCCCGGCTGAGGTGGGTTCAAGTAACCGCCGATTCTTTTTCTTTTCTTTTAATTTAAATTAATTTATGATTGCTCGTCCTTCTATGCTATTCCACCTCCATTTCCGATTTAATCCATCTTCTCTGTTTCTCTCTGGGGTTAGGGTTTCGTTTCCCAGGAGTCCGTTTTCTTTACCTGCGTTGACGTTCTTGCTATATTAGTCGTTTTAATTCTAGATAATACATTTTACTTTTCATTTCTTTCGAGAGAGTGAAGAAAGAAGCCTCCCGGCGTTGGGAGGGTGGAAGAGAGAGTCGGAAAGTATGGGTGGAGGAGATGGTGATCCCGGTTGTGCTGCTTCCCGCGTAGACGAGGAGGTCAATGATTCCAACTGCCGTGATGGAGTCACTGTTAACATCCGGTGCTCCAGCGGCTCCAGGTTCTCCGTTCAGATTAAGCTGGAATCTTCCGTTGAATTTTTCAAAGCGGTTCTTGCTGAAAAGTGCGACGTACCTGCTGATCAACAGCGCTTAATTTACAAGGGCCGCATCTTGAAGGATGATCAAACTCTCCTAAGCTATGGTACCACTCCATTTTGTTCATCTCCTTTTTCGGATTACTCCTGTCAATTTTTCACTTATTCTCTTGTACTACATTCGATCTTCGCTCAATCTGTTTGTTATTTGAATCGAGTCGGTTGTTGCTTCCTCTTTTAGGTATTTATAGGTCTGCCTCTGAGTATTTAGCCGTCTACATGCGTTCATATTTAAGGCTATGGAACTTGGATGGGTTTTTAGATTAGATTATTGAACGAGGGATATTGTTTATTCATTAAGATCCTATGTAAGTCTTGTACAATGTACTAACTTATAGAGTGGGGAAATGGCAAAGTGTACAGGCACATTCCTGCAGCATTCATTTGAACTAATCTATGAATTTTGGTGTGAGATTCCAATGTAGCAATAGTAGCTTTGGCTATGGACACTTGGCAATATATGGTGGGTGTACTCAACTTCTCTATGGAGGATGTTTGTTTTGCCACTAAAGAAAAGCTAATTTTGTTAAGGTTCTGACTTTTTTTAGTTGCAGAGACAGTTGTTTAGGTTCAAAGCCCTTGTTTTGGTAAAAGATAACTTGCTGTGACTTTTCTGATAATAAACCCTGGTTAGGTTCAAAAGAAGAAACCAATCAGATCCAATTTTTGCTCCCTGAGAAACTAACCAAAATATGGATTCATTATCTTATGGGAGAAATGAACAGGTGTTGGTTTAAAACAGTAGACCGTTATCCTGCATGTGGGATGTGGGGATGTGGTTTCTATGCTGCGCTTTCTTGTTATCTTTTCTTTTTTAACCAAATAATGTCCCTCCTTGGTACGTAGTAGTTGATGCATTCTTTTTTCTTTTGAGCTATTGACGTAGACATGGTTCTTTTAAAGTAGGCAAAACATTCGCCTGTGCGAACTGGAAATTTAGGTTTGTTTTCTTTTTCTATTTTGGTTCTTTTTTCCCTTTTATGAGTAAAAAGTTTGTAAGTCTTTGTAGAATTAATAACTAGTTGTTTTTGTGATGCTTAATGCAAGTTGTCCTTTTCAAGAAGTTACAGTTCATTAAGGTTTTGCAGTTTATATTCTATTAGAAACAGTACCTTTCAAGCATTCTTGTTGTAAAGGACTCTTTGTGACAATACACTTCTATATTCGTGCGTGGATCTAATTTCTCTAGGTTAATCTTGGTATATATTGAACATATTTGATATTAATTAGCATATAGATTCTTAAGTCTTGGTTTACATGCAGCTATTCAGTAGAAATTAGCACATAGAATCTTGTATTAAAGTTGATTAATTTGGAAGATGACTTTTTCCATATGAACACATTCTTGCATCGTTAATGTGACACTGTTATTCCTTCCATACTCAGGATTGGAAGCAGATCATACCGTCCACTTAGTTCGTGGCTTTTCATCAGCAGCAGCAGCCAATACAGGTACTGGAACCAACACTGGAGCTTCAAATACCACTCAAAGTAACACAACAACTGTTGATTCAAATGATAGCGGGCATCTTGGAGGATCCGGTTTTGCCTCTTCTTTGTTTCCTGGAATTGGTATGGATGGCTTAGGCAGTAATCAAGGTTTATTTGGAACTGGACTTCCAGGGTTTGAACAAGTGCAGCAACAGTTGATCAGAAATCCCAATATTATCAGAGAAATAATGAATATGCCCATTGTTCAGAACCTAATGAATAACCCTGATGTAATGCGAAACTTGATTATGAACAATCCTCAAATGCGAGAAATCATTGATCGGAATCCTGAGCTCGCTCCCATACTTAATGATCCAAGCACCCTTCGTCAAACTCTTGAAGCTGCTAGAAACCCAGAGCTTATGCGTGAAATGATGCGTAATACTGATAGAGCTATGAGCAATATCGAGTCATCTCCAGAGGGATTCAATATGCTCAGGCGCATGTATGAAACTGTACAAGAGCCATTTCTAAATGCAACGACAGTGGGTGCGAATACTGGACATGATAACTTAAACCAGTTTCCTGCACTTTTGGGAGCACGAGGTGGTAACCAGGCTAGAGATGGATCCACCAACCAGCCAACAACTGCCTCCGAAACCACTACTGAGTCTCCTGCTCCAAACACTAACCCACTTCCCAATCCTTGGACATCTGCTGGTGGTGAGTTTCATTCTCTTGTATTGCTCTTCTTCAGAGTGAATTATTTTTTCATTACAGGAATGATAAAATAGAATGTTTTCATCTATTGTCTTAAAGTTCTCATTTGTAGTGAGAGAGATCTCTTTATGGCTATTTATGGAGTAATGTAGGTTAACCATGGGCTGTTGTCATTTGAAATTTGCTTTTTGAAATGTAAGAAAATTAGTGGAAGAGCCATTTTGGATGAATGCCTATTGATTGAATGATTTATGCTGGACCTTGAAAGGGTTGAATAAATTAAAATTTTTATTTTCTCCCCTCATTTCAAGTCTAAGATGATCTGAAACCGAAGTGATACTTATTCAAATTTCATTGGCAAATTGTTGACGAAAATGTAACTCTAGCAGGTGGAGGTGCTCAAACTAACACAGCAAGATCAGATCCTGTTGGGAATACCAGGCCTCAAGTGCCTGCTGGGTTAGGAGGACTTGGTCTCCCAGACTTTGAAGGGATGTTGGGTGGTACACAGGATCCCAATTTACTTAATCAGTTGATGCAAAATCCAGCTATTACACAAATGATGCAAAGCTTTCTTTCCAACCCTCAATACATGAACCAGGTTCTAGTTATCCTGTTACTTAGTTTTTGTTATTGAATATTTACTGTTTTCTAACATCATTTGAGTTTCAGATTCTTGGTCTTAATCCCCAACTTCGCAGCATGTTTGATTCCAATTCTCAACTGAGGGAGATGATGCAAAATCCAGAATATCTACGGCAGTTGACTTCTCCTGAGACAATGCAGGTACACATCTTTACTTATTTAGGTTGCAGTTTTCCATGGGTGCTGTGTGCATTTATTATCCCATGTGTCCTTGCCCTTTCATGTATGTGCACATGCATGTAGATACATCCATATGCAGATAATAAAAACCATTTGCCTTTGCTTATTGCATTAATGTGGAAATCTGGTGGTAATTACATATTATCAAACTATCCTTTTTTAATTGAGTCGTCATGTTGAATGTTTATTAAAGAATAAGCTGCCATTAGTTCTTTGATTGCAATTCAAGTTGTTAAGAGGATAGTGTTTGAATTTGAAGATTCTTCCATGTAAACATATTGATTCTATTATTTTATTCTCTTTCAGCAACTATTGATCTACCAGCAGTCTCTTCTATCTCAGCTTGTTGGTCAACAATCAACCCAGTAAGCTGAGCCTGATATGATTGCTCTTGGCTTTTTTTATATTCATTACTCTAAATTAACTGTTATGCAAAGTTTTATGTTAGATTATGTTAATTTTCTGGATATTATCCCTGGATAGATGCACTATATTCTAACTCTGAATAACATGGTTATCCTGGAAATAATATTGACGATAAACTTCTAACTTTGACAACAAAACAGAAATGCAATTTATGTAAACCTTTCCTTAGTGGAATGAGTCGGCTAATTGTCAATTAAAATCAGTATTTGCTAAGTTAACAAATGCGAATATCTTTCCTTTGTAAATTCATTATATTCTTCTTCATACAGATTCCTTATTTGCATCAAACCACTTTATATGATATTCTTTGGCATTTAACAGCCGTTTCTTACCATAAATTTAGATACCTGGTGTTTATTAATTTTGGAGTGCACAGATTTACTTGCAAACAACAGAATCTTGACAACAGTGCAGTCTAAGTAAGAGTCCCTGGGTCCATTTCAAGTCCAACTTTGTTTCAGAGGTTTAGTAATTTAGGTTTTCTTTGTAGATAATTAATTATGTTTCTTTCAAATTTGGTGCTTATTGTAATAATACAAGTAGGTTTAGCATTTTACTTATGATTTAAATTCTTTTTAGATGAGGAATTGAATTAAAGCCGCTAAATACACTCGTAAGAGATTTTAATTATAGAGAGAATTTTATGTTAGCTTATGCTTTGTTTATCGGATGATGGAATCATGACTTCGTGATACTTTAGAGACACCTTGTGATACCTAGCTTATACTTCTTAGGTGTTATGTCCAAGAAACCCTATTTATCATGTTTAGGTTAATTACTTTTTTCCAAACCATGCAGATTCTTCCTAATCTGTTCTATGTAAAATTGCAGCATTTGATAGAAGAAATGGAATTGGTGATGAAATAGATTTCTATCTCTATATCCATTATTCCTTTAGGATGCAATTTACTTTGACTTTAGATTATTATTCAAAAGTTTCAGCTCAAGGGTTAAAGTATTTAAAGTGGCTACTCACTAGGTCTAGTTGGCGAGCTAGGGCAGTATGGTTTTATCTTTTTATGGTTGCGAGTTACTGATGCAGAAAAAGATATTTAGTGACAGTTTTTCCTAAATTTGGTGCTCCTTTGCAGGGAATCTGGCCGGGCTGGTGGAAGCACAGGTATACTGTATTCTAAACCATGTCAGCTTCATGCCTGCTCAATTATGATTCGAGTAATTTCCAGTAGTACCATGTCTCTGTGCAGGCTTCATGCATGATGAAGTTGCATTCTTGCTTCTTCTCAACATCTTCATGGACTATTCTTGCTCAGTTATTGTTTTCTTTGTTTGTTCTTTAACTATTTCCGTTCATTTTACAAAATACTTCTGTCTTTGAATTATGAGGCTGTAGAGATTTTTTCCCTTTATTATTGTCAAAAGAGTGATAAGGCTTTGTTCGGCATATTAGGAATTTGGTTAATGGGAGATGGAATATGTTATTAGACACGAACTTTTGGAGGAAGGACATGTTCGTACTTCCCAACCAGGATGAAGAGGGGTTGGGGGGATGGTCTACTCCTTTGTAACTTTAAAAGATTATTTAGTCTATTAGTGGTTCTGTTAATGGTCAATAAATTGCAGGGACTCCCAACAACACTGGTTTAGAAATGTTGATGAGGATGTTTGGTGCACTTGGAGCTGGCAGCCTAGCTGCTCCCAGCAGATCTGATGGTTACTTTTCTGATTCTCTTTTGCTTCTTAATTTATCATCTATTTGTATTGTGCACTAAATTGACTACTTATTAATCCCAGTGCCTCCGGAACAACTATATGCCACCCAGATGTCACAGCTTCAAGAAATGGGTTTCTTTGACACTCAGGAGAATATCCAGGCATTGATTGCGACTTCAGGGAATGTACATGCTGCAGTGGAGAGACTTTTGGGGAATTCCAGCCATTAACTTCTTACCATGTATGTTTTTCTTAATGTCCTTTGTGTGGAAATCGGTCAGTTTGCACCTTGGTTGCATCCAGGCACCATTTCGGGTCTGAATAAAAGTTCAAATATGATTTTAAAGGCTGCTGCTGCGAACTTGTTAGTATCTTCATGGGGATTATTGGTGCGTGCAGCTGCATCCCGTACATACTTCGTACGATAAAAAATTTGTTATATGAATGGTTTAGTGTTTGGATTTTCTAACCTTTTTTCTTTCTTAATTTCGAAATCTTAATATGTTGTGAAATGTGGACTTTTACACGGGTGGCATGTGTCTCCATCAGCGTGCCAATTGTAAGGCTTTCTTTTCTGTTCATTGTAGGTTCGTTTTTGTATATTTTGTTCTTAGCTCTGCCAGGTTTTCATATGGGGTCTTGTACCCTAATCGGTTGCTCCACCGTCCGCAGAGATGTTTTGCCAGCCCCTGGCGTCCATTATGTTATATATCTATATATATACTGTTGGATCTAGGTGGGATTGCCCACCTGTGCGATCAGGTCTTAGCATCCTATATATCATACGCAACCACATGTATGTGATGTTTTAGGAAACTGTTAACAATCGGAGAATATCTTCTTGTGAGAATCTAAATAATGTATATGCTCATGCTCTTCTTTCTCCTTTCTTTTCCCCTAAAGAATTCCAGAGTAAAGATCAATGCAACTTGAACTCGTCAGAGTTGGAATCTTCATTCCCATCTCCAAAAGAAAAAGAATTTTCAAGATTTCAAATCATTGAAAATAATAACCAAGAAGCTCGACGAGCTTGATGCTTGGAAGGTTAATGGGGATTGAGAAAATGAACGTGTGCGTTATGACAGTGCTTGAATTGTCTTGATATAATTCGAAAAAGCAATAATATATAAATATATATATATATATATATACATACACCACCGAATCAAACCATCATAAATTTCAGTTGTTGAAGAAATAGTAGACTAATTTCTTATATATCTCAACAAATATGGTGACTGCTTACTCATCATATATCATGCATGCACACACACACACACACATATATATACATATGCATTCTGGAGAAAAAATCAACCCAAGTAAATAAAATTTTTACTTTGGAAACTGGTAACATTTTACACAATAAAGCAAACAAATGAACAAAAAGAAAAAAAAAGGAAATTGTAGTTCGGAATATTTATTATTCTTATTATTATAACTGAAATAAAATTTAACCTTTACTTTAAATAATTCTAATTCTTAAGATTAAAAATTAAAAAAAAAAATTAAAACATGCAGGATTTTTATACCATTCGCAGTATACTTGTTTCTTTTTGGCATAATGCAGTATACAACGTCCTCGAAACGTTTTATTAATTAAAAATAAAAATAAAATCATACTTAAAATAATTTGTTTTAAGAAATTGCCACAAGTTAAAATTGCACCCTTTTTTTTTTAGAAAAAAGGAAAAAATCATATTTACTGATATTATTGGATAATCAAACTAGAGGGGCCGGGGCATGTTCTAGATAGAGACAGTTGGATGCAGTCAACCCAAGAGTGCATAAGTTGCAGATTTTAAATTCTCAAGAGAAATATAGAAAAATATCTACATATTTTTAACTAATCACCTAGAAAGGAACTCTACATGTATGTTATCTGGAGATATTTGGAAAAACATTTACAATATCCAAAATGGTAATCAATGCGGATACTGTGAATTAAACAGAATCCATTCACATATCCATCATAAAAATGGTAATAATCACTGGCCACCAATACAATCTTGTCCGTAGAATCATCTTAATCAGTCCACGTGTACGGTCCAGCAGGCCCCCCAGGGTCACATAATGTTTGAAGGAATGCATGGAAGAACGGCTCTATAAAATGATGAGCCCTGATACCAGTTGGGACAACGCCTTTTGTTTTGATTATATTGTAATAGGCACTTGAGATCAATTGGGCCACCATGAGTAACATTCAAAAGAGCTCCTCCTCATCTTTCCCACCAGAAAAAGATGGGAAACGACGAGAGCAGCAAACGCAGAAGCAGAAAGTGAACCCTACTTCTGCCGCCCCTATCAAAATCTCCAGCGTAGAACGGAAGAAGGCGAAGAAATCCGACGCTACTGCTGCCGCCCCCATCAAAATCTCCAGGGTAGAAAGAAAGAGGGCGAAGAAATCCGATGGTTCTAATGTCTCCCCCCTCAAGATCTCCAGAGTCCAAGGAAAGAAGGAGAAGAAGAAAGCTGATGCTCCTGCTCGCGCCCCCATCAAGATCTCCAGCGTCCAAGGAAAGAAGGAGAAGAAGAAAACTGATGCTCCTGCTCGCGCCCCCATCAAGATCTCCAGCGTCCAAGGAAAGAAGGAGAAGAAGAAAACTGATGCTCCTACTGGCGCCCCTGTCAAGATCTCCAACGTAGAACGAAAGGAGAAGAAAGCTGATGCTCCTGCTGGCGCCCCTATCAAGATCTCCAACGTAGTACGAAAGGAGAAGAAAGCTGATGCTCCTGGTGGCGCCCCTATCAAGGTCTCCAAAGTAGAACGAAAGAAGGAGACGAAAGCTGATGCTCATGCTGAGGCCCGTATCAAGGCCTCCAACGTAGAAGGAAGGAAGAAGAAGAAAGCTGATGCTCCTGCTGGCGCCCCTGTCAAGATCTCCAACGTTGAAGGAAAGAAGGCGGTGAAAGCTGATGCTGCTGCTGTTGAAGGAAAGAAGGCGAAAAAAGCTGATGCTCCTGCTGGCATCCCTATCAAGGTCTCCAACGTTGAAGAAAAGGAGAAGAAAGCTGATGTGAGTGTGAAGAAAGCTAAAAGGGAAGAAGGTGCCGGCTCGGGATCCAGCAAGAAAAGAATGAGGGGACGAGAGAAGGATGATGATGCCGTACTGAGCAGTCTTCTTCAGAAGCCAAGAAAGGGTGTGAAGATATCAGATAAGGCAGCTGACAGCCCGAAATGCAGAAACAAGTCTGAATCCGTGGTTGAACACAAGATCAAGCATGCGGGTAAGAATCGCGAGGTGGTGACTCCACCTCCCGGCTTTACACCACCAAGCTCTCCGACGACTTCTCTTCCACCTCCCGGTTTTACACCACCAAGCTCTCCGACGACTTCTCTTCCACCCCCCGGTTTTACACCGCCAACATCTCCAACAACGTCTCTTCCACCTCCTGGTTTTACACCACCAAGATCTCAAACGTGTTCGATCGGGTCTGAGGAGAAACGGAGATTTCAAGAGGCGATTCCGGCTTTATTACAACTGGCGAAAAATACGGTGATGAGGGGGAATGATGGTAAGCCAGTGAGTGGTACGAGCATAAGGGAGGTGATTGACCTCACTGATACTGAGGAGCCAGAGGCGAACGCAAGTCCAAAGCAATCAGCACCGAAGAAGAGGAAGGGGTTTGAGTTTGACCTAAACCTACCTCCTCCACCAGAGGGTAAAGATGGTGACCCGTAAACGTGCCTTATCTATTTGATCATGGATGTTTGCTGAATAATTTAAATCTTGTTTGGTTTTTAGGAGTTCATTTTGTTCAATAATTAAACCTTGTATAGTTCTTAAGAGTCATTTTATTCAAAAATTAAATGTTATTTAGTTTTTAAGAGTTCATTCTATTCAAAAATTAAATGTTGTTTAGTTCTTAGGAGTCATTTTATTCAATAATTAAATGTTGTTTAGTTCTTAGGAGTTCATTCTTTTCGATAATTAAATGTTGTTTAGTTCTCAGGAATCCATTTTATTTATATTACATTTGAAGGTTACCCTTTGAAAATGTTTGTTATTTATAAATTCTCGTATTCATATATGAGATGAGTTAAGTTAATATTAAATTCCAAAGCATTTTGACATGCTACATGCACCAGGGTTTAGTTATTGCGTAAAGTAAAGTCTGAATATGCTTCTAATCAAATAAAATCTCTATCACCTCATCTTCTACCACATAAATATCCCACACTACTTTCTCTCTCTCTCTTGATCTCTCTTGAAAGTACAGAATAATTTATTGATTAGAAGGTAATATATACATTAAAGAAAATCTAGGAAACCAGAAACTACAAGTACCATATACAAAACTTGGCAAGCCTATATAAGCAGAAGAAAGCTCCCAAACACAGCACAAGAAGGGAGGGTAGAAGGTAAACCACAAGAAACAAAACCAGTCATCTGACGCATGGGAGAAACCTGAGGCTTGACCTGTAACTCTCTCTGCTTTCAAACAAACATAACAAGCTTCTTATTGTGCATTTAAGTGGGAAGATGATCTTATTGTTTATTTTTTATTTTCAACACAAATTAAATATGCTAGAAATTCCATGCTGGTAAAGATCATGGGATACTCCAATTTCATATGGAGGAAACATATTATTTTTTTTATACATCACGGTTCAAATCATACAGTACTTACAATTTCAACTTGTAACTTTTAATACCAGTATTCAATTTAAATATTTGTTGAATTGGTGATTCTTAAGTTTAAGACGTTACGAGTAATATTATAAAACATGTCAATTAAACATTATAATCCATGATTTTGATATATATATATATATATCATTGATAGAGATCACAAATAGATAAACAGCAAGCTGCATATGCCTACAGAAGAATCAGAAGTTGCAGCACGATCGGAATGGCTCTCGGAAGAAAAGAAAAACCAAATGCAGCAGGCTGGTCGAGCGAATAATGAATCTTCATGTATGTAGACATATATATACAGGACATGAAATAGATGGGGATGCATTAGATATTAGAATTTGAAACTATAATCAAACCTTGGTGATTTCTCTACACATCTCCAGCCAAGCCGTGCAGCAAAATCATTAGGAAAACTAGATTTAGAAGAAGGAAAAACAAAATTTGGAAGGAAGGATATATGTAAAATAACATAAAAATTAAGAACTCTAAAAATTATATCTATACCATTATATGCCATGAAATATTTGAACGAGACGAAAATAATAATTACATAAAAAATTCTAGAGACAATCTTAATATCTTAAAAAAATAAAATGAAAACCGAAACCCTAACATACTTTTTATTTGGAAGAAGTTTAAATAATTAACTTTAATGAAATTAGAACATATGTCACTATTTTTTTAACATAATTTAATATTAATTTTTTGCTCAAACTAACTTTCGTTCATGAAAATTTAAAAATTATTTTTAAAAAAATCAAAATATAATAACGTAATCAATTTTTAGTTATATTTGAATGCCACCGACATTACTAACCATTTGTTAATTTCATTAATGTATTTTAATTTGTATAGATATTCTAATTAGATTTTATTTGTTTTTTATAAAATTCTAAAATAGTATCTATTTAAATATAACAATAAGTCAGTTTAGAGTATGTTTCGTAAAACCTAAATTTAACTTATAATTATAGTACATAAACTCAAATTTACCCTGAAATTAAAATAGATTAAAGAACGTAATTGAATAAGAATGATAATCATATAAAAAATTCTAGTGACTAAATCTAATATCTTAAAAAAAAAAACAAAGTCCTAACATCCTAAATTATCTGACTTATTTTAGAAAAGTTTTAATAATTAATTTTAATGAAATTAAAGTATATTGATGTTGTTTCTTTTTACCATAATTTAATGCCGATTTTTTACTCAAAGCAACTCTTGTTCATAGAAATTTAAAAATTAATTTTAATGAAATCAAAATACAATAACATAATCAGTCTATAATTACACTCGAATACTACCAATATTAG